GAAAAATAAAAGTATAATGTTTATTTGTTAAGTACATCCGTTTTGTATTTTTATAATTGATATATAGTTTTCATTTGGTTGCACAAAAAAAAAAAAAAATCGTTTAGTTTTTTGAATTTTGATCAATCGAAAAAGTTTTGAGCCGAAAGTTTTACATCTCATCTCCACACAAGCGGGATTCTAACTAAGGGACCTAGCTAGGTAGCATATACTTTGGTTTTCATTTATTTCCTTGTTTATTTCTTATTGATCTATGCCTAATTTTAAATTTCTTATGTTGTGATTGATATTTTAGTTATACATTGCATCGACCTTCTAGATTACCATTGTTTTAGTTGTATCACAGTTTCACCAGCCAAAAACTATATTGTTTGGTCTCGAATGCTTTGGTGAAATCACCAGCAGAGGAGTCACTTTCACCGGCTATTACCCTTGAAAGAGAGGAACAATAACTTGAAGATTGTGTTATCCACTAGTCCCTTTTTAGTTTTCATATATGATTCTCTCTTTGATAAAGATTATGTTAAACTCTCTTAATTTGATAAAACCAATTAGTTAAACTCTCTTCGATAAAGATTATTCTAATAACAAAATTTGCCAGGAAGTTTATTTCACTTTAATAATACAAAACTCGAACCAAATTTGTTTATTTGCAATCTTTATTTTTCATTAAAAAAAAAATAGCCTTTGTGAATACTCTGATTGATCAATCGTGTTCGTTGGTTCCAAGAAGTAACAGAAATGTTGTTAATACAAACTTCTTCTTTTTAAACGTTGGGTGCATAAGTGAGGAGGAGGACTAGAAAATAGGAGGACCAATGAGATCTTCCATGTTCCAAGGAGACTCATTTACACTTTGGATAAACGCAAGCCAAAACCAGAAACATCAACCGGAGAGAGAGAGGATACGATGATTCACGGTGGTGCTTTGACACGTGTCGCTTTCGGCCTAGCTGTCTTTCTCCTCCTCGCCGTCGTTCACAGCCAGGTTAATATATTTCCTCCTCGTCGCCGGCCTAACCGTACTAGAAATCGGATTTGAACAAAGATTTGCAAAGCCACTTCTGCATAAATATGTTAATATTATGTTATTTGCTTTCTGATGGGCTGAATCAAAATGACAGGAGAAATGCAGCAAAACCTGCATTGCAGAGAATTGCAACAGTAAGATTGTTTCCTTTACATTCCTTTGAATTTGGAGAAGATCTCTTTTGTATTTTCTTAAGAAAACTCTCTTTCAGGTCTCGGTATTCGCTATGGGAAGTATTGTGGTATAGGATACTTTGGATGTCGCGGAGAGCAACCATGTGATGCTCTTGATGCTTGCTGTATGACACATGACAATTGTGTTGATTTAAAAGGTAAACTCAATCAATAATATCTTATATTTGAGCTGCTAATTTGTGTTTTTAGCCTGTAATGATTTTTCTATTGAAATCATTCTTGAGTGTAGATTGGAAACATAATTTGATATATGTGTTCAATGATCATAGACTATGTAAAGATGTATACGCGATACCTAGTTCCTTTTCTACATCATAACTATGTAAAGTTGTAAAATATAACTTTCTCAAGTTATGGTCTTTGCAGGTATGACTTACGTGAACTGCCATAAACAGTTCAAGCGTTGCGTAAACGAGCTTAAAAAATCGATAAAACAATCGAAGGGACAAAAGGTTGGATTTTCAACCCAATGCCCTTATTCGCAAGTGATACCAACAATGTACCAAGGAATGGATTATGGCATTCTCTTCAGTGGAATAGGTAAATCTTTTAGCTCTGATTTATTCATATCGAATATGCGGTTATGCTATTCCACTATTTACTACTGTACTAACTCTATGAAAATCACTTGTAAAACCTGGAAAACTATAATCTAGGGGTGAAACCATATGACTCTCTTTGTTACATTGTTTGTGACATTTCTGATTACAACACTTCGTTACCGTCTTAGACTTGCGTAATTTCTGTTAGAACCTGATAAAATGTGAATAATCTTGCAGGTAATATTCTCAAACCGCCCGTGTTAGGAAGCGGGTCTGTTGTGGAGGCGAATCTCGCTCTGAGCAAAGCGGATACAAAGGATGGCCTTGGAACAAAAATAGGTCTTCAAACGAAAGAAGGCTCCAAAGTCTCTGCTTCTTTAAATTAAGATGTGTCCTTCTACTTCTTGATTATCTGATAAGATGATTCATAACTCTCTCTCAACTTTGTAGACTCTGTAACTTTGTTATTTATGAAAAAATCGTAAAGGATTTCAAA